CGACATACATCTGCCATCGTGCCGTGTCATTACTGTTACGTGAGCAGTGTCAGTTGCATTGCTTCACTGCCATTCATGAATGCCATAGTAAAGTGTCTATCAAATGTGAACTCCAGAATCTCAGTGGAAGTAGGAAGTTTTCCAGGTACTTTCTGTTTACTGTTTTTCAAATATGAATTTGGACATACTACTCTTTTTAGTGTACTGTTTTTGCCTACTGTAGTATATTGTATGGAAGTATACCTATTTCTACGCACTTTTTTTGTTTTCTGATAATGCTCTACATTCGGATATGCATCAAAATACAGAAGAGAAGAGAAGATCTGTTGTTCCATTTCATTGTGACTTTAACACACAAACTCTATTCCAAAACCTAGTTAGCTCCCTTACTACACGTAGACAGCATCCTAACCATACATAAAAGCTCTCAAAGTAACTGATTTGTAATGCAGTGCATCAGTTGATTTCAGTACAATTGGATGTTATCATGTTGCTAAGCTAGTACTCTAATAAGCATAAAAATACATAGCATACAACTTTTTTTGGTAAAATAATTACAAGGAACTTTTTATTGACACTTTTCAGTATTTATAGTACTTTTTTCGTCCTCCATCTTAGCTTGTTGCAGTGCATTTTGGGATTGAATTCTCTGCAAAAGGATACATGTTATGCTACCTTACTAAATGTAGTATCTGGAGCACTGTGGTTCATGTGGTGTTAATGCCAAACTGTGCCATTTGTTTGCCAAATGTGTGAATATACAGAACTTAGTCACATTTTGTAATCGTTTTAACACTGTTTAGTGCATTTTTAAATGCAATATTAACATGTGCATTGCCCCTTTCATCAAGATGTTATTTTGACAGCCTGTGCAGAAATATAAAAATCGAATTCTTTTAAATATAAATGTTAATTCTTTTAAATATTCTTACTGAAAATACAATGTCATGCTTTTATATGTCTGTCCCTGTTCTTTATGCTTATTATTATATTCAGTGTGTGTGTGTGTGTGTGTGTGTACACGTACACAATATTTTTTTGTGGTTTTGGTTGTACAATATCCAAGATTATATCATTTTTGTAAATCCATATTATGAGGCTTGCTCTGTCGGCATATGCAAATTATTTTTAAATGATTCTGGGTCAGTGAGTTATTTAAATATATGTTGCATGCAGTGACAATTCGGCATGTATTTGACGTGTCATCTCCGGTAGCATTAGCACAGTTGTTTGTGGTCTCGGCCTAAGACTGAAGCTTTTATGTTAACATTATAAGGACATTGTCAGGCATAGACACTGTTATGCTGCCAGGTGTGCTTGTCGGTGATGCATGAATTGTCTAAGTGAGACAACCGTAAAAGTTGTGCATTTTCTGCCACACACAGGTAGGGGTTATTCCCATATCATGGTCTAACACACAGGTGGGATGTTATGTGTTTACATCCTTCATGTTTCAGCTAAAGGGTTACTGTCAGTCACAGGCATCCAGAACTTTCCCACAGGAGCAAATAAGGGAGGAAGAAAGAACATGTTCAGTGTAATAGAGCCGTCGATTGCACAATGTGAGACAGTCGTGAAGACAGGCAACCGTAACAAAGCTTGTTAAGATGAACATAAGATGAAGCGAAACCACAATAGACTCATCCATAGAGGAATGTGGAGTCTGATACACAGACAAGATTTCCCTTCTAATGAAAGTGAAGCTTGAATGACATGTTGAGAAAATAAAGAGCTACACTAGGTTACTACTGCATGTGAGAAGAGACTAGCTCTGTTTTAAAACCTGCTGAGTTGCTTATCTAGACAGCATTTAAGGCACCATATAATCTGTCTAATTGATTGTGAGCATAAAACCAGCTTTGTTTGTGTCCTTTGCGAAGTTTGAAATCCCACAATGCACTGTGACTCAGTGACAGATATCCCTGCTGGGGGAAAAAAACAAGCTGTTTGATTGTTTTAGAGTGGTTTGGGTACTGATTTAAGCATTTTATTTCCCAGCAGGATTTTCAGCTATAATTATCCATAGGGATTGAAAAAAAGCCTTTGTTAAAGAGTTAAGCATTTGCCAAACCAGCCATCTACGAGGTTAATCACAAGAACAGCAGAACAGCTTCAGTAATAATTAATCAATGTGTATGTATGTATATATTATGTTAATTTTAAGTTTTTCACCAGGATTTGCACTGTTAAACACAATTATTTATTATAAGCTGAAATAAAGCAAGCTGATGGCAAAAGGGTATACCATCCATCAACATCCTTGTAGCTCACTGTAAGTCTGTCTTTTATATGGAAAAAATGTTTACTTCCAGAACCCGACTGTTGCACTCTATTAAAAATGTAGATACTGATTAAAAATGGCCTGTTTATGCTGAATTGTCCTATGTATTTTATACTTATTAAAGTGTCGTGTCATTAGCAACACACTAACATCACACTATTAAAATTCACTCTGAGTCGTGCACCTCATGTGCAGAGTGCTATTTGTGTGGCTGCCTGTGTAGAGCACTTATGCAGTCCCGTGACAGTTAGGATGCTCCCTTAGAAGGTAGCCGCTTAGAAAACAAAACGACTTGCTAGGTTTTGGAACAGAGCTTATATTTTACGTTTAATAAGCAAACAGGGAAGAAGGTGCTTATTTTAGAATCAGCGATGAAGGCATTGTGCATGTTAGTATAATTTGAATTTGCAATGTGCCAGGGATATGAACTCAAACCATAAAGAAACATATTTGTTACTTGACATAAAATAAGCGTTAACTGAAATAAAATAAAATAAATAAATAAAAAAAACTTATTTAATTTCTGTTAGTTGCCAAGGCAACATTTCTAATTATCATTTAGTTCAACATGATGTACTGAAATCACTAAAAATCAAAATTAATATGGACATTCAAAACTATACTAATACTAGCTCAGTGATACTAAAATAACACTTCAGTGTGCATTTTATCATAATAATATCAAGATATATCCAATTTTGATGAATGCTTCTTGATTCGTTTTAGTACATGCTCTTCTATACGAGTATGCTTTGCTATAGGTGTTCCTTGTTTTTATTTATATGTAAATATGTGAAAATTATACACCCCTGAGGTACTCCCATTAAGTGCAGGTCTTCTTTCTGCTTACCTTGGCTGTTTTTTTTTTGTTTTTTTTTGCTGAAGCACACCGTAGTTTACTGCTTATTAGCTCCAGAATAGAATATTTTAGTGTGTGTTTATGGTGTGTGTAGAGAAAGAAAGAGCTGCTGCGAACCTGCACATTGGAGATTTAATCCCAAATCACAGTGTATTCTGTGTCTGAACCGGCCACAATTCAGTAGTCAGCAGCTGTTGCTCGGCAACATGCACCACAGTCCAACATCTTGTGAAGAGCCAAGCTGCTGTTTTCCATCTCACCCTTGAACCGTTCTCTCTCTCTCTCTATTCATTTGCTCTCCATTCCCAGCAGCAGGAACATGAGATTTCTCTTTTTCCCCCCTCAAGTCAAACATGAATTATTTAGCTTTGTGTTGATCACACTGAGTCTCTGCCCCGAGCTTCCCTCCCCAGTTCCCCTACTGTAACTCTCTCTTTCTGAGCTGTGAATGTTGCTGCTAGCCTCTACTCAGCAATCCAAAATGCATGTTTTTCTCACTGAATTGCCCATATATCTGAAGTCTTATTCTGAAATCCTGCTCTGAGTGACTGTCATCATGGACAATGAACAATGTGTAGCATTTCTTCTCAATGGCACTGTAACTGCACTCAGTAATTATTTCTGTACAGTGTGGGGCGAATCTTCGCAAGCACACATGCGTAAATAATTCACCATGCCAATGTTTTGTTGAAGACAAGTCCCACATTATCAGTGTACACATTTGTGAGTCATAACGGAAAGAAACTGCCTTTGCCCCAATTTTTGGTGCAGATATTGTTTTCTCCGTCTAATTTCTAAATTGAACCGAAAATGTAGTTGTACGTCAGTGCATATCAAATAAATGTTGATGCATTTGTCATCAGTGGAATGGAAAGCGAGCCACAGAAAAGCTGTGTGAACATTGCTGTCGGTGCTTTCCAGTGATTGATAACTACAACAAAATGGTTTTATGCTGTACATAAAAAATAAATAAATTTGCTAGGCCTAGTCTAATTTCCCCAGCAGCAGGAACATGAGATATTTAACATGTTAACTATTAGCATGCTAACTCCATCCAGCTGTTGTTGAACATCCTCCTTCTTACGTCTTTGTTTCTTTTTGAAAGAAATTATACTTTTTTCATTAAGAATGCATTCAGTTGAACAGTGACAGGAAATACTTGTTGGAGACGGTAGAAAAGATTTCCGTTTCAAATAAATGCTGTTGTTGTGAATGTTCTATATATCAAAGAAACCCGGGGGAAAATTGTCATGGTTTCCTCAAAAATATTAAGCTGCACAGCTGTTTTTAAGATTGATAATAATAAGAAATATTTCTTAAGCACCAAATCAGCATAATGATTTATGAAGGATTCTGATTCTGAATGATTTCTAAAGACCAGAGTTATTATAATAACTAAAACTAAAATCATTTAAAAAAAAAGATTTTTTTTGTTACTTTACATAACATAGATGTTAATGGAAGTAAAATAATTTTAAGTTATAATGAATGTAGTGAATTTTATTTGAAATTGCACTAATATTTCACAATATTACTGTTTTTACTTAAATTTTGATCAAATAAATGCAGCCCTGGTGAGCATAAAATACTTCTAAAATACATTTAGAAAAAACGGTCTTCGGGCATCTTTTTGGATTTTAACAAAAAATTCTTCAACCTGTATTTTTCCAACATACGGTAGTACTGTTGATAAACATATTGTGTGGTCTCAGAAAGTATCTGAATCATAAAATGATGTAGTTACAAAATATCCCCAGGGAATAGCTGCAACTGACCATTGGGTTATACTTACACAATATATCAAAAGTGACTGTAACAATCAAGTTCTGTTATTTTCTTTATGTTTTGTGTTCCTCTCAGCTGTTCCCTTCCCCCTTAGTCATCGCCTCACCATGAAGGAGGTGTTTGACTGTGAGGGGAAACCAAGGGTGGATCTACTGAAAGCCCACCTCACTAAAGAAGGCCGAGTGGAGGAGACCGTGGCCCTCCGAATCGTAAACGAAGGGGCCTCTATCTTACGCCAGGAGAAGACCATGCTGGACATAGAGGCACCTGTCACAGGTACATCCTAATTCTTTCCTCCTTGTTAAAGGCTATTATGGCAGCACATTCACCTCACGTTCAATATGAAGATAAATATACAAAGTAGTAAAGTGGATGGTTTCGTTTGACATGCATTTGAGTGACTATGTGTGCTGTTTTGCAGCAGGTTTGGATATATTTTCAGACAGTAGTCGATAAAGACTGTCTGTGCATGAGCATCAGTGTGTGTACTTAATGCAGTTTGTTATCTGACGCCGTCTGCATGTGTTAACTGTATATCCGTGACAACCTGCTTTGATACCGTCAGCAAACAGGACTAAAGAGAAGCGAGACAGCGAGAGAATGCACAATCCTGACCTCAAATACAAAAATAAACTCCAAAACACCCGACTGGGAGTTCAAAGAATGAACAAGGCTGACAAAAACAAAAGGCGGCAAAGTGAGCAAGCGCTCGAGGTGTTTCTGTATGAAGTTTACCTGTGAAGGTAGCTGTCACGTTGAAGTTCGATCCCTTGTATACGTGTGAACGTATATATGTGTGCGTTTCTCCGGTATATTAATTCCCTTCTTACCTGTCATCACATCAGCTATGAGGTGAGAATAGAGGAAAAATAGTTGTAAATTAAAACTAGGGTAATGTACGTACCATGGAAAGCATGTCTTTGTCTTTTTGTGGCTCTGCATCTGAATGTGAAGTGCTTTTTCACTTTTATTATCAGTGTCTGTGGATAATCAATAGAGTTGAGAACTTGATACCCGCGTCCATCTGCAGGAGTGTGTCAGCACACCAGCTGGCCGTGATTTCCACTGTCTCATCCGCGTTTGAGCCGCTTACTCCTGAAAGAAACAGGCCCTTGTGTAACAGCACCAAAAAAAATACAAATACGCAGAGATAATGGACATAGCTTGATTAATTTTTCTTTTTAATGTGATTCTGCTCACCCAAATGGTACCGCTGGTGAAATTACAGTATTTTTAATGCTATTTTTAGTGTTTTGGTTTATTTCATTTTTAATGTGTGCTATAGGAGTGAAGTTACCATTTACACTGCAAAAACATTTTCTTTATTAGTACATTTGTCTTGTTTTGTAGTGTAAGGATTAAACAAATCTTAAAACATGATAAAGTTACTTGAAAAGCAAAATTTTACAGATATTAATGTTTAGTTTCAAAGAATATATCTTGAATTAAATGTATTCTTTTCTTACTCTGTTGGCAAATATTTTTCAAAATATATTTTTTAAAGTTTTTCTAGATTTATAAAATATGCATTCTATGCAAATATGCATGCAAACATTAATAATAATAATTTATATTAATGGTGTGTGTGTGAATTTTATTGTTTTATTAATATTGTATTAGAATTGTATTTTTTTCTGGAAAGCAAGAGAAAAAAATATATATATTTTTTTTTTGGCAGTACGTGTGGGCTGTAAAACTGAGACTAACTTGTGTTAAAATCACTGCACCAAAGGCCATTTTTGGCTGCCGAAAATGTCACATGGTCACAAGCTTCAGTGCATCAGGAGTCACTCACCGCTGTGTTTTAAGACACAAAGCATTTGAGTTCACCCCGGTTCAGTCGCAGTCTCACAGGAAGAGTTCAATTCCACTGTGCCCTTAGATTTGTCTGGTACTGTGCAGCTGTTAAAATCCATCAGTTGATCAGAGCGACCTGCAGAGCGAGAGAGAGATAAAGAGAAAGAGAGAGAGCGATTCTCTGCTGCAGAACACACCTACACCTCTGAGTCATCTGCATCTAACAGCTCAATATTCTCTCTCTCCCTCTCTCTATAAATCTCTTCCCATCATCCAGTTATGCTTGCACCCTGTGTGCCTGCAGTGGGTGATGTGAGAATAAGCATCTCCTCCCTCCACACTCAGCACTGCACAGCCACTGCCACACATGAAGAGAGATACATACAATTATCACCATTTAGAGTTTACTGTGTGTGTGTGTGTGTGTGTGTGTGTGTGTGTGTGTTGTCTGTCCCTGTGCTCAGAATATTTGCCCAGATCAGCCAAAATTAGGCCAAGTGAAGTTTATGCCTGCCGATTGTCTATTATTAATATCAAAGGGATATGAAATATGCAGGAGGCACAGTGTACACAAGGACCTGTCATTGTCAGTAGATCCGCTTCCTTTGTGATGCAGCATAATGGCAAACAAAGACATATCTTTTGCCATTTGTCACTACCTTTACCCAGCTGTATGGCCATCACCTCATGCTATTGTTAATCAAGACTGCTTACACAATCACACAGATGTATACACACACAGAGAGAGAGAGAGAGAGAGAGAGAGAGAGAGAGAGAGAGAGAGAGAGCGGGGTCAGGCGCATTCATATATGGTGATTGTTAATCAAGACTGCTTACACAATCACACAGATGTATACACACACAGAGAGAGAGAGAGAGAGAGAGAGAGAGAGAGAGAGAGTGCTGGTTCAGGCCCATTCATTTATGCTGAGAATGATTTGTGCTGTGTGCTGCTTGCTCATTAAGTCCAGCTTACATAATGAGAGGCAAGGATGAGGAGGAGAGAAGAGGAGAGGAGAGGTGGAGAGGGGATATGAGATGTACAGATGGGAGGAGATGAGGGGGAAGAAGAGAATGAGAAGAACAGATGAGAGGAGGTGAGAGGAGAGGAGTCGAACAGATGGGAGAATAAAAGATAGAATAAGACTAAATGAGAGGAAGAAGAAAGGAGGAGAGGTGAAAGGAGAAGATGGGGAGAAGAAGAAAAGATGAGATTCTGTTCCTGTCCAGAAGAGGAGAGGAAGGATGAGATTAACATATAATATGATCGGAGATATGAGAGGAAAGGATGAAAGGAGTGAGGTGAGGAGGAGAAGAGATGAACAGAGGAGATCCTGTTCATCTCCAGAAGGGGAGAGGAGGTGAAAAGATGAAAAGAAATGAAGGAAATTAAGAGTTAACACTAGAACCGCCAGGGGTCGTTGTATACCTAAAACTGGCAGCGGGTAAAATGTACCCATGCACATGACTACTGTTTTGATATGTCTAAAAAACGTCTCGGTTACGTATGGAAACCCTCGTTCCCTGACGGAGGGACCGGAGACGTCACGTCGGATGACCGATGAATTGGGATCTCGCTTAGAGAGACCAATCTACTTTGAGTGTAAACTAAACGAGCCACTGCACATTGGCATGCGATTATTGCATCCAGCTGCCGCTGATCACAGCGTGAGTATAAGTAAGCAGCAGATGCAGCAAATATATTCAGGTTTTCGCTGAGGAGCCGAGCCGAGCCGAGCCGGTAACCCGGCCGCTCAGCGGTGGTACAGGAGCTGTGGTGACGGGACGTGACATCTCCGTTCCCTCCCTCCTATGTAACCGAGACGTTCCCTTTCAGTCGGTCACTCTCGACGTCATGTCGGATGACCGACGAATTGGGATCCTACCAAAAAGCCACAGCTACTGCCCCTTCCAGTGTCCTGTGGAAGCCACCTGCGCCCCTACTTTTTGGCGTAGGCCAGGGCTTGCACAAGAGGACCAGCTACTGCTGCTATGGCACTACCCAATGAGTAAGACTGGATAACACTGGGAAAACGTACC